ACATATTCTCCATTATTTCATTGTTACTAAACCCCAGGGCTCCACCACCCCACTCCTGTGAAGTGTAGCCCTAAGGGACAGAAATTTCCACAGGCCCTTTTCACACCCATCTGTCATAGGCTGTTTCCATGAAAGGGTGGGCCTTGGCATCCCTTCAGGGCAGGGGTGCTTTAAGCTATCGGGGTGGGGAGCATGAGGGGTGAACACTGGGTGGCTTGCAGCCACCTTGAGAGCTGGGATGTTGCGACTTTTAACACATTTGATTTTTGTATCGACTCAATAAAGTTCTGATTTCATTAGAATCTTTTTGTGTTTGGAATGAAATTTACAATGGTGTGGTTCTTATTGGAGAAGGCAACAGAGCTGGCCAGGACTCCTGGGTTCTATCCCTAACTTGCCACTGATTCTGTGCGTGTAGACTTTAGCACAGGGATGGGGAACCTTTTTTGGGTCAGGGGCCACTGGCCTCCAGAAAAATCAGTTGGGGCCTTATAAAAGTGAGAAGCAAAAAATAACAACAAAAAACCCCTCACGGATGTGGCCCCTGACTGAGAAGGAGAATGACACTCCCCACATTCCCCTTGCACACCAGAGCCTAGTGGGGCCCAGGTTAGTAGATTCTGTGTGCTCCAGCCCCGCAGGGGGAGGAGGCTGAAGTGCCAGCACAGGCTCCCCTGTGCTGTGGGGGAGCCCTGAGCCTTGGGAGCCACGTCGGGTCCCTGGGCCTGAGGTTCCCCACCCCTGCTTTAGCAAGTTCCTTCCCCTGCTATCTCTGCAGGGAGGAAAGGGCCATGGCCCCTCCCAGGGAAGAACTTTGTCAGGGTGTTTGTGAAGAGCTGTGGGGTCCTTGACAGCTGCAGGGTCTGGTCCCAAACACTTGCCCCATTGGCTGAGCTACATCCCTCAACCTCTTCCTCTCCCTGGCCAGGTGAGAGTCCACCTCTCTCCAACCCTCATTGGCCTAAGCTGGTAATTTGTCTCCATTCCCCTGCAGACTGCTCCTGCACAAGAGTACACACATCCCTGTGCTCTGAGTCCCCTCCATATCTCCCTAGAGGTGGGTGTTTTAGGGATACCTGGTTCTTATGCCCCAAGCCCCACCCTAATCTTTGATGACTCCTCCACTCTCCTGGAGTCACCAAGGGACTAGCTTATAACCCTCTTCCTAACAGTGCCCACACTCCACTGCAGCTCCAGTCTCCTCCCGGCCCCCTGGTACAAGTGCATCCTGCTCTCCAGCACCTGCCTCTCTGAGCCCCAACTGGGCTGGTGCCCCCTCCTCTCTCCAAGGTGGGACAGGGAGGTATCTGCACCCTGGGAGGTCTCGCTCCCTCTTCTAAGCACTTTGGAAAAAGTCAGCTCTCTCCACAAGCAAATGCTGGTTCTCTGAGGCGATGTCTAGACTGTAGTGCTTTTTAGCAGTGCCACGTCCAAGGAACGCGTCCGCTTTTTCAGAACAGTTTTACCCCTTCTGACCGAGGCCCCGCTCCTTATGGGGGTATGGAGCCAGGCCCCCCACAAGTTTGGTGCTGTATAGATGTGCCAAATTTCAAAAGAGCCTTTTTTGAAAGTAAATCAGAAAAAGACACACAAAAGATACCTTTTTCCGATTTAACAGTGCAATCTAGACGGAGTCTGAGAGGATCAGCCACTAGAGAGGGGACAGAGTTCCCCTTATCATGGCCTACAACTGTGTAGAAGCTGGTGCTAGAATCCAGAGCATTAGGAGGACTCCTAGGCTATGTCTACACTTGCGGCTTCTCGTGCCAGAAATATGCAAATGAGGCTAAGCGTGACATATCACTGAGCCTTATTTGCATACCTAATGAGCCACCATTTTTCAGAAGAGGCTCTTGTGCCAGAAGGAGCTGTCTACACTGCCCCTTCTTGCGCAAGAAAACCCTCTTGCGCAATGCCATTCTTCCTGAAAATAACTGACGTAACGGCATTGCGCAAGAGGGGTTTTCTTGCGCAAGAAGGAGCAGTGTAGGCAGCTCCTTCTGGTGCAAGAGCCTCTTCTGCAAAAATGGCAGCTCTTTAGGTATGCAAACGAGGCTCGGCGATATTCCACGCTTAGCCTTGTTTGCATATTTCTCATGCAAGAAGCCGTGAGTGTAGATAGCCCCAGGCTCTAGGGAGGCCTTACCAGGCTGGAGGCCTTTTCAGGAGAACCAACCACAGATTGTTGGGCCCTGTAGAGGGCTGAGCTGTGAGAAGCAAAAGCTCATACTGAATAGACTAGTGTTCCCATTGTCATAGTTATCAAGCTAATCCCAGGATATTAGGGACACAAGGGGACTTCCCCACAAGAGGTATTACCTCACCCCCTTATGTTTCTTTATACTAGTGACTAGTTCCTCGTGCTCAGGAATGGGGCATCTGTGTTGGCTGACACTAGGTCAGAAAAGCTGCAAAATGAACAGATGTCAGCACAGGAACCCTGGAAGTTTTTGACACCCCCCCCTCCCAAAATTCCTGGTGTTTCTGGTAGACATCTCAGAATGCGTGGATGCATAGCTGTAAATCTCAAGTAGGAGAAGTGAGGTTCTCTTACCTCTCTACTTGGCACTGGTGCAGCCATTGCTGGAGTCCTGCAGCCAGCTCTGGTATCCACAGTTCCAGAAGGATGTTGCTAAAATGGAGAGGGGGCCAAGAGCTAAGGGGTGGAATGCTACATTGCTGGGTCTCTGCATAGGAGGCTGCATGGTGAATTTGAACTGATGCAGTGCTGTATGGCTACAAAGCAAAGGACTGCAGCAAAGGGGTGTGGATGCACTTCAGTTCACTATGCTTACCTTGCTGCATTGCAAGTGAGCAAACCACGCTACACTGATGTCACCATGAGGACATGGCGTTAGGATGTGCCCTCTTGCAGGGTCCCAGGTACGGAGCAAACCTGGGAACACCCTGATTTAAAATGGTGACATACAGAGCAATGAACAGGGTGCAGAGGGAGCAGCATCTGTGGGAATGCTTCATGCAGTGTTAGCAGGGCTTACACAAGCACATATTGCGGGCCATTCCCTCTGAAAGGCAAAGTGACTGAGACCTGGATCCGGGAGGGTCTGTGCCCAGGTCTGCCTGGGTGTCCTTCCCTGTAAAGCAACTGTATGATTGTTGCCTCCATAAGGCCAAAGGACAGGCAGAGAGGCCTTGTTCTTTGGCCTGTGAAGGTGAGAGCTCTGTTAGGAGCAGTGAACTCATCACGACTGTAGAACCTTGGGTGGCATCCATAAGGGGCTGAGAGGCACTAGGATTCATTGCGGATGTAGGTCTGGAGCAATGGGGCAAGCAGTGCTGGCATCGCTCCATCAGCTGCCTGAGCCAGAACAAGGGGTGGGTGTTGTCTCCATCTGCTTAGCCTCCCACTGCCATGCCTGCAGCCTCCCAGAGCCCCCTGCTCCCCCAGCTCCCAAAATAGCAAAGGGTACCACATCCAGCTGATACGCTTGCAGCATCCCAGAGTCCCCCGCGCCCCCATCTCCTCAGCTGCCAGGGGGTCACACACACACACACACACATCCATGCAGCCGGGACCAGCCCGCCAGGGAGGGGGCACACGCACACTCATCTCCCCTACGCCCCCTTAAGACTCTATGGCAGACGCCCCCGTCCCCGCCGCTTGGTGGCCGATGGGTGGGAATCCTAGCGAATGGGAGCGAGGACTCCGTGCCTGGTGCCCAATAAGAAGAAGGGGCGTGGAGCAGCTGTCACAACCGATTTAAAGAGGCGACACTCTCCGCCGGCTCCCCCTCCCTATTCCTAGTCAGCTGATGAGGCCTGAGCCCGGGTCCGCCTACAGGGCATCCTGGGCTGCTCTTTTCCCGGAGGCGCATGGAGGAGCCGCTGGAGATGCCGCCGGGGGAGGAGAGCAAGGTGAGCCCGTGCCCTCAGCTGAAACCTGCATTCCCCACCCGAGAGGGGCAGGAGCCTGCACCCTGCTACCCCCCACCCTGGTGCTCGGGGTCGGGTATCGCCCTGCATCCTCCCCCTCTGCGGGATTGGGTGCCCGTACATCTAACCCTCTTCTCTTCTTCAGCCTTGCTCATTTTCAGGGGAGCTCCCCGCAGACCCCTCCTTGCAGGTTGAGATCTCAGACGCAGTCAGCGAGCGGGACAAGGTGAAATTCACTGTCCAGACCAAGGTGAGGGGGGAATATGGGGTGAGGGGATTGGAGAGACAGGGTGGTAGGGGACCTTATGGGGGGGTCTCCCACCATGGGGCTCTGATGTTTGGGGGTCACTGGAGAATGTAATGAGGTTTGTGGATTCTTGGCTTGGGCATCCCCATTTGAGGTAGTCTTGGGGGGGGTCCTTGGTTTGAGGAGGTCTCTGGCAGGTCTTTATATTGAAGTGAATACTAGTGAATACTGGGGGGGTCCCAGATTTGGGGTGTATCATTCTTGCCCCATCCCTGTTGCAGAGCTCACTGCCCCACTTCACCCGCCCAGCACTATCCGTGGTCCGGCAGCATGAGGACTTTGTGTGGCTGCACGACACCTTCTCTGAAAATGATGAATACGCTGGCATCATTGTAAGTGGGAGTATTGTGGGAGTGGAGGGGAGCCTGGGGGGACATTGTAAAACGTGACTCCAGAAGGGGCAGATGAGATATGGAGATCATCATGATGTGGAAGGTGTCTGGGGGGGACATGGGGAGGGGTGTCATAAGGGGGAACATTATGTCAGGTTCTGGGGTCCACAGCTTAAGAAGGATGTTGCTAATGTGGGCTCAGAGAAGAGCCCTGAGAAGGATCAAAGAACTGGGAAATGGAGAGACTCCAAGGCTCAATCTGATCAGTTTAACCAAGAGAGGATTTAGGGGTGACTTGATCCCAATCTGTGGGAACCAATATGGAGAACAGAACTATGGCCTGGAAATTGTCCAGGAGGTGTGTGTGAGCCTTTTGCCTTCCCTGAGCCCTGCCCCTCCACACACATTGCAACTGGCTATGAACCCTTTTTCAGCCTCTCCAGCTCCACCTCCCAGCCTCCTGTCCCAAGCATTGCCCCCCACAGCTTCAATCCCCTCCCCAAAAATGTGAGCTTCCCTCAGCTCTGCTCTCCCCCATACCCCAACTATGAGTCCCCATCAGCTCCACCCCATGCCTCCAGACTGCCCTAGTCCTCCCCCTTCCCCTAGCCTTCCTCACTGCTAGTATCAGGAGACCATGGGCGCTTGGGGTCACAGAGGTTCGGGAGGCTGGAGGAGGGATTCAGAGCTAATATTTCTCCTGGTTCTTTCCCCACCACCTCCCGCCCAGATCCCCCCGGCACCTCCCAGGCCTGACTTCGAGGCATCCCGGGAGAAGCTGCAGCGCCTCGGGGAGGGGAACAGCACCCTGACGCGGGAGGAGTTTGCCAAGATAAAGCAGGAGCTGGAGGGGTGAGTGACACCAGGGGAGGATGGGGGCTGAGCTCAATGCACCAGGCTGGCACTAGGAGGCGCTGTGCGGTGGGGGTCAGTAAGGGGCTCTGTGCCATGGCTGCAGTTCAGTGAGAGGTGACACAGGGGTCAGTAGGGGCACTGCAAGGGGCAGTACAGGGAAGGTAGTGGGGGTGATCCAGGGGGCTCCCTGGGGACAGCATGGAGGACAGTGGGGGGCACTGTCCCTGCTGATGCTCACCAAGCTGTCTCCCACAGCGAGTACCTGGCCATCTTTAAGAAAACGGTGGCAATGCATGAGGTGTTTCTACAGCGCCTGGCAGCCCATCCCATCCTACGCCGGGACCACAACTTCCATGTCTTCCTGGAATACAATCAAGATGTGAGA